ACCCTAACTATTCTATGATGATTCTATGATTTTATATGTAAAACTGATGAATTTTCTTGTAGTCATTTATTATACAGCAGTGCCTTGCAAGTATATTGATTTTATTAGTCTAGGGTTCAAATATTCCTCTTGCTTTTGAATTTTTAAGTACTCCAGATCCTTAATGTTGAAGGTTAAGGGTTTGCTGACCTTGATGGTTCTGCTAACACCAGTGTTAGTCATAAGAATACTGCATGTTGATATTCTGGCAAAAGTTATTAGTGTATAGAAAGCCTACAATTCAGAAAGGTGGATCAGGTGAAAGGGGAAAGATGTGAGGGCAGAAATTTAGCTGAGGTAGGTGAAAAATGACTGCTGCTAACCTGTTCTGGATTCTTCACAAAATTGAGTATTTAGCAAGGTAGAATATGGTGGGCAATAATAAAGTAAGATTCCCAGTTGTCATTTGTACATACCTGCTTTTTGACATCAATGTAAAAGATGATGTTTGGTATATAACAGAAAATCTGTCCTTATTTTCTTTGTATTTAGGAGAAATGGTTTTCCCTGTTCTGTTTTTTGTTCCATAATTTATGTATAGATCATGGCTGAGTTTTACGGGATAATACTAAGATTTTAAGATCACAAGAAGGTGATTCTGTGGAGAGTATGACCAGTCAGAACTAGTCAGAAGTTCTGCCCCTCATCCGTACTTACCCATTAGTTTGTTAGTGCTTGGAGCTAAAGTCACTCTGTAACTCTTCCGGTTTTCATTATGCTGTTATGTTTGTGTATTATTTGCATTGGTTTGTATAAGTGAAGCAAGTGTCACTGGTTTGCAGACACCTGTTTTGATGACCTCAGTCATTGGTTTCAGCCTCTTGCATGTATTACACTGATCTTGCTCATTTTAATACAGATTTTCTATAGTGTGTTTCTGTAGGTTGTAGAAAGTACTGCCAGACTGTTGCATTCAGCAAGCAATGCACCTGCAGAGCATGATGGCTGTAAACTTCGAAACAAAATGTGTTGTCTGTGTTATCAGTTTGGTTATTCTTCTGAATGTAAATCAAGCTTGCATCAGCTATCTCTTCATATTTTGCTGTCTCCTTAAATGCTTGAGGATCTTGTAACCTCTGCTGTTTTGGTTTTCGTTTTCCTCTGCACTAGCATCTTGTGTACATGAAATGCTATCATTTGAATACTGCCTTCTTTAAAATTCTCTATTTCAGTCTACCAATTACTATTTAGTCTGCTCCTAAGTTTATTACTAATGGTGGACAATCATTTCTTTTCCTCATGAGCTTAAGGAAGGGCATAGAAGGAGTATGTGTCTTCAGAATCAATGAGGCTTTTTCTTTCTCCAGCAATTCTCTTGAAAGCAGCTAGGAGAAAGAAAAAAGCTTGTGTGAATCTGTTTTAACTTTGTTTCATCCATTACTCTAAAGAGAAAAGGAGGTCAGTGCTTATTTTAGTGGCAGCTTGCCAGTTGAGCAAACCATGTGTCCTGAGGCACTTAAACTTACTCTATCCTGGCCAGTAGAAACAGCAGTAATATTGCTGTTCCTTCTTCACTAGTTGTTAATGAGTTGCTTGATTAGTTATTTGTAACAGATGCAATACCTCTGCTTCTTGCTTGTCATTAAGATCAAAGCAGGAGATACTAGACTTCTGCTCGGCATAGTAATACAGAATGTCTCCTACTCTTATGTAACAATATAGAGCTTTGGTAGGTTTGCTTAGTGGGCTCTGTCTTGAAGAAAGAAGTGTTCTGTGGCCAAAAAGTTGTATACGATGTAACATATGCATATAAAATGTGTAATCTGCAGAGACACAGGAAAAATAGAATAAGGTGAGAATGAGAACGTGTTTTTAAAAAAGAGAATTTTAAAGTGACCTTGCAAGTGACTGGTAGCACTGAGCTGCATTGCTTCATAAGGGATAGAATCTTTGTTGAATCCTGGTATGACTAAAGTTTCCTTTATATTTGACATTGCTTAGTATTCAGACCATAGCCTTATCAGCATTGTGAGGGAGCTTGTATGAATTTTTTGACTTACTCCAATATGTAATGTCCATTATGAGGTTCTATGTCCCCAGTCAATTCAGGTGCAAGTGTTAGTGTCACAGAAGTACAGAGTAAAATACCTAGGAACATATGCATATCAAAATAAAACATACTAATATTTGCCATAACTCTTTTCTTCAAAGCATTCTCTTTGTAGCTTGAGCTTTAGCATTGTTCTGTCTTCTGCTGGTAAGCTTTCTGCTGAGATCTAAAGCTGCTGAGAGTGTTGTTCTGACAGTTTGTAGGTATCTATTTGTTTGCTTAAAGACTGTATTGCGTATTCCTCAACTTTCATGTTAACAGTGTTTCTGTCTTAAGCTGTGAAAATTCTGGTAGCTCTCTTCAAGTTTATTTATCACTTATATTTATTACCATTTAAAGTAATAGAAATTGAAACCCTCAAACTTTTAAAGCCTCCGTGTAAAGGAGAGTGAACAGGAAAGTCTCCACTGACAGACAGACACTTCTGTGCTTAAAATTGTACCAGGAGTTTTCCTTCTTCACCTTTAGACTAGCATCCGTATCTGAGATGCTTTAAATGCTGAGACTGTGGGGGAATGCTGATAAAACCTTAACTCTGTATAAACCTCTTTCTTAGTAGCTATGAATTAGTAGCTTAGTAGCTATGAATTTTAAATTGAGTGTACTTGCTGATCTCTGAGCAAATGAGAGTTCATTGAACACAGTGGAAAAAATTCATGAAATTAGGAATACAGAGGCTGCACTGCACATTCTGTTTACTCAAGAACATGGCTCCGAGTTGGACTTACTTGTGTGGCAAGTCTATATACATACATGTTAGTGGGTTGGATAATAAAAATTAAAAAAATCCCAAACATTATTATTCAGAATCAAACCAAACTTATTTCTGTTCATCTTTTTTTCCAAGGGCATTTTGAAAAACAAGTGGTCAATACTCTACCTCCTGCTTAGCCTTAGTGAAGATCCACGTAAGCAGTCTAACAAGGTAGGTGAAGAAAGTTTTGTTGCTTCTGTGAAACAGTAAGTGTGTGTCACTTATTTCAGATGTCATTAAGAATCATTATCCAGAATTAACCAACACCTCAGCTTGTGGTTGTGATGTTTGTCTGTCAGGCTGAAAGGGAAAACACTCTTGAAAAAACTATCTGCAATTTTTCTGTGCATTTTTTTTTTCCTAAGTGAATGTAAACATATGAGCTGCCCAACATGTGTAGCTGATGTTGTGACTCTATTAGATGGATGGGTTTTTTTTTTGTTTGCTTTCTGCAGGGTGGTGTAATGTCTGCTCACATGCTAATGAGTTTGAAATGGAGTAGGGAGAACAGAATTCCTCCTTTGGTTGCAGCTCTTCTAGCACCAAAGTGCTTTTTGCAGCTATTGCTAATGACAATTTGTAGGCAGAAATAAGCTATATTGCTAAAAGTACTTTTGCTTGCTGTAAGAAACTTGCTTTTTTTTTTCCTCATTATAGTTGTAACAAATTTTTCTCTGCATAAGCATGGTCTTCAGGTATTTTTTGCATTCTTGAATATTACACTCCTGTCAACTGAAGACATGACTTAAAGCAACTCAAATCTTTTTTCTTTTTATTCTTCCCTTTTCAAATCCTTTCCTTTCCAGGTATCAAGTTATGCCACGCTTTTTGCTCAAGCATTGCCACGGGATGCTCACTCAACCCCTTATTACTATGCCAGGCCTCAAAGCCTTCCATTAAATTATCAAGACCGCAGTGCTCAGTCTGCCCAGAGTTCCTGCAGCATGGGGAGCAGTGGGATCAGCAGCATCAGCCTCTATGCTCTGAATGGACCAACACCAACTCCACAGTCACTCCTTCCAGGGTAAATTAAACTGTTTTACCTTACAAATAGGTTTGGAGAAGATGAGAGATGATCTCCTTTTGGTGTTTTTTTGGGTTTGCCTTTACCCCCCCCAACCCTCCCCACTTATATGCTATTGGAAATTCCACTGTAAGTGTACTGAAACTGAATTCCTTACCTGAATGGTTCCGAGTATCAGATGCTCTCATGTAACCATATGAAGTAAATGGCTGACCAAGTATATCCATTCTAAAACTTAATCATAACTATCTGCTGAACAGTTGATACTTTATTGGATTCACTCATTTGCATTCTAGTGCCAGGTCCTTTTCCAAGGAATTTCTCAGTTCTCTGAAACCCTTTAAAACAGTCTATCTTTCTTCTGTAAACACATTGGATTTAGAGTCCTCATTCAAGTTCCTTTTATAAAGCGTTCCTCAGCCAGTGTCAAATTAGTAGATTTAGCATCCTCCATTTTGGAATGGGCAGCCATTCATGCATGGTCTGACTTTATTTTAAGCGTGCTAATAGCAGGTTGAGCAGTCTTGCATCTTGAGTGGAGAGGAGTTTTTTGAAGGTTTGTTTTTTGTTGGGTTGTTTTTTGGTTTTGGTTGTTTTTGGTTGTTTTTTTTTTTGATGAGTAAAAAAATTGTACAAGAGTTGATTTTAGAAGAATTACCTATTAGAAAAAATTATCCTAAACCACATTCTGTTCAGCAGTGGTCTGGTCATGCCGAAGTGAATCTACATTTGGAGCCAAAACATGCAAATACCAAATAGTTCAGATTTTTGATATGTAAAAGCTGGCCATTTTAAGCCAAGGGATGACTACGTGAGTATTAACCTTGTTAAATAAGCTAACACAAAGTAACGTGCTCAAAATCTGAGCCCTTCTTGTGCCATTGGATATCATGTTGTATTACCCCTACAGCGGTGCAAAGCCTGACAGAGGTGCACTCCACAGGCTCTATGTTCCACGGTGGGAAAATGAACAATCATTCGTAGTCTGTGAGAGGGAGTGGTTCAACAGTGATTCTGTACTATGGGCCTGGAACACTGCCTCATAAAGGTTGAGCATGGAAAAATGAACAGAATATTATGAAACTTGTAAAAGTAAGGATTGTACTTATTTGTGTAGCTGTTTCAGCCTTGAATGAAAAAGTCTGGAAATAAAACCTTTATCCAAAAGTGATGGAGACATCACTTTTCAAGAAACTATAGTTAATGTCAGAAAGACATACAAGAACATAATAAAAGGAAAAAAAATATATATATCTTAAGGGACGCAGAAATCATAGAATGGGTTGGGTTGGGAAGGATCTTAAGATCATCTAGTTTCAAACCCCCTGCCATGGACAGAGACATGAGTAAAGCTCAATTATTTTGTCCTAATAGAAGCTTCATTGGTTAATATTTGACACAATTTCTAATATAAGGCTAATTTATGGCAGTTTTATTAATTTCTTGCTAATAATTAGAGATTCCCATCTCTTAATTTTCGTTTCCACTCCCAACAGTTGCAAAACAAACACAAAATCAAAATAGAAAAATCATCTTCAGAAAGTACTACAGCTTTATTTTGAGTTGAAGATAATTTTTTTTTTTTAATACACTATGATAATATGATTTATTGAATCATATTATGGAAATAGCAAGTGCTGACACAACTGGATTTTGTTGATATCAGTATGCTTTACAATACAAACACTTATTGGGCTTTGTTAGTGCTAGGTTTGTATGGTGCATCTTGGATACATGAGTAGAGTATACCTTTAAACTCAGAATAATAGGGGAGAACTGGGCCCTGCAGCTGAGTGAGGAACTGGTAGACCAGATTAGTAAGCAAGAAGTACAGGGTGCTGTGGTCAAGAGAGACCTTGAAACCAACAGAGCAGGGCAGGAGTGGGTCCACCCAAGTATGTGCACATAAATGGGGAATGGGGAGAGGACAGCCCTTATGGGGAAATTTTCATACATTTTCTGGAGCATCAGCACAACTTTGTTGGAGTGCCTACACGCTAACATGTCAGCATGGGGAACAGACAGGAGAACTTAAAGAGATAAGTGTGCAATACTAGGGCTGTGATTTCACTGGGATCACAAATACATGGTGGGATAGTTTGTACTGCTGGAATGTGGCAGAAGGTGGATACAGGCTCTTTGGGAAGGACAGACTAGGATGGCAAGGAGAAGAAATTGCTATTTACATGAGAGAGCAGCAGAAATACATGGAGTTTAGCCTGGGGACTGGTGAACCTTCTGTGATGAGACGACTGACTTGGTGGACGAGGGGAAAGCAGTAAATGTATTTATTTCAACTTTAGTAAGACTTCTGACACTGTCTATATTGACATATCCGTATTGACAGACTTAATAAAATATGAACTAAATAAGCTGACACTGAGATGGATTGAAAACTGACTGACCTAGTCTCAAAACTGTTACGATCAGTGACACAAAGTCCCGTTGGCATAAAGTGCACCCTCAGCAACTTTGCAGATGGTAACAAAACTGGGAGGAGTGGTTAATAAAGACAGTAACTCAGCTGTTCCTCAAAGGGACCTCAGTAGGCTCCAGAAACGGGCTGACAGGAGCCTTCTGAAGTTCAAAAGAAGTCCTGCACCTGGGGAGGAATAACTCCATGCACCAGGACATGCTGGGGGCTGACTGGTTGCAGAACAGCTTTGCAGAAAGGGCCCTGGGCTTCCTGGCAGATAACAAGTTGAAGATGACTGTGGTAAAGGCAGCAAACAGCCTCCTGGGCTGCATTAGGAAGAGCATCGCCAGGAGGTTGAGGGAATTAAACCTTCCTCTTTGCTTGGTACTGGTAAGTACACAGCTGAAATGCTGGGTCCAGTTACAGTACAAAAACAGACGTGGACAAACTGGAGAGAGTGTGGTGAAGGAACCTCAAAACTTACTGAGAAGTTGGAGCATCAGATATATGAGGGGAGACTGCGAGAGCTGGAACTGTTCAGGCTGGAGAGGAAAAGGCTCAGGGGATCTTATCCATGTGATTATGTCTGACCAGGGGAGTAGAGAAGTCTGAGCCAAGTCTCAGTATTGCCCCAGGGAAGGACAAGAGGTAATTTTCAAAACTTGTAAGGCTGGAATCACAGTTAAAACGTAAGGGAAAAAACTTATTTTGCAGTGAGGTGGGATGTGTGTGTGAGGGCAGGGGGATGTTGTGGAACCTCTCTGGGGAGGTTGTGTAGTCTTCATAATTGAAAATATTCAAAACATGACTGCACAATGCACCCTCTCTGCTTTGAGCAGGATGGCTGGAGGAAGTGATCTCCGGACGTCCCTTGCAACCTCAACCATTATATAAGCTGGATACAGTGTAGAAATTTGTATCAATGAGGTTATTTCATATATCTGCTTATCACAGAATCATAGAATGGTTTGGGTTGGAAGGGACTTTGAAGATCATCTAGTTCCAACTCCCCTGCCATGGGCAGGGGCACCCTTCACTTGGGCCAGGTTCCTCAAAGTCCCATCCAACCTGGTCTGTCTTGCAGGCTGTGTTCTTGCTCACTGGCTATAATCATATGATGTGTGACCATCCCATGAGCTATGCAGTGGCAGTTGAGAGACAAAAGGCATTCCTTGACTTCTTTTACATGGACATTTGTGTTGCAGTCTTGTTCCATCTCTCCCTGCAACTCCTTTCACAGCTTTGTGGAACTAATTTATTATTTTTAAAACATATATCTATTTCTAAATGTCTACATTCAGTTGGTGGAGGGCGGAGGACTGTTCAGCAGCAAAAATCCCTTGCAAATATTTTCAACTTTATTTTTTACCATCATGATACATAAAGAATCAGAAAGTTAACTTCTGGCCTTAACATTTTTCACATCTAAGACTTTTTTTTTTTTGAGAAGAATTTGATGAATTTGAGAGGAAGGGAAATCAGAGTTTGTCTAGATGCACCCTCCTTGATCACATCTTCAGGCACTTAATGCAAGCTCTTCTAAACAGCAGAGGAGCAGAAAAGTTAATTTTCTGCTCTTTTTCTATTTTCCTTTGGCATGTAACTACAGTTTCAAGTAATAACGAAAAGTAAATATTTGTTTATGTCTGTCGTTATTATAGTTGACTTTCCTTTTAATCTATTTCAGTGTATTTATACAGTTCAGTGTGAACAAAGATAATCTTTGATATGAAATCACATTTGTCAAATCTGTACTTCCTTTTCTACAGTTTTGAGGGCTTTTTTAAAGTGTAGGCTTATAGGAAGCAATGAATTGTTTGTATATTCTGCACCCTTTTTTAAGGTTCCATTATTGAGAAAAACTCAAACCCAAAACAACCACAAACAAAACGTCCACAAAAACCAAACTCAAGCTTGGTGCGTTTTTCAACATCCTCCAAACCAGGTGATGGGTACAGAATCACAGTTCTTAAAGGTGTTTCTTCCTTTTGTCCTTTTAGACAATCCTATCAAGGTCCGGGTGTTGGAGATTGCCTCCGTCAGCAATTAGGGTCACGTCTTGCATGGACTCTAACTGCAAACCAGCCTTCGTTACAAAACGCTACCTCAAAAGGTTTTCCGAATGCTGTGTCCCGTGGTGTGCCAAGGTCAAGGCGAGACGGGGATACAAGCGGTGAGCAAAGATGTATTTGTTAACAATAACTTTTTACAGTTGGTATCTATATCCTCCACTATTTTTTAATGATTTTAGAATAGTTTTATAGCATGTTGAATTTTTTGTAGAGTGTTTTGCTAGAATGTACTTGATAGAAGGATAGAAGCAACTATGAAAGACTAATATATTTGGCCACAGTCTCTATGGTTGGTTGCTAATTTCCTTCTACAGTGATTGGGTTGATAATGTGTTCTGGTCCTCTTAAAAGACTGACTTCATTGCAGTGTTTGTCAGAATCAGGTGATTGTGGTTTGTGAGTAATGATCACTCTTTTGATGATCAGAAGATGCTACTGCTTTTAAGAAGCCAGAAAAAGTGCTTTATGAATAGAACTTAAAATACTCATCCATTTGTGATTCTGTCCTTTAAAACTTGGAAATGTGTATGAGAATATAGAGCTCTTAAAACTATTTTTTCTTTAAGTGAGCACAGTGTTTACAGTGGTTGTATTTAGAGGAACTGACATAACATATTGTCAACAACAAAAAAAAGAGATATATATTGCCAGTTTATTTCCTCAGTGAAGTGACTGTAAACTGGAATAGATCGTCTAGGCATCAGTTTCTGAATTTGCACAAGTTACACTTGTGCATAAGGAGAAATTGTTAAACATGATCTCTGTGACAACTGTGTAAGTTTCAGGCCATTCTTACTGTAAAAGCAGGAGACTTTTCTGAATAAGAGAGCTAATGGCAGATGTCATCCTACAGTGCTGTTAGTCTCTGCCAAAGAGATGTGGGGGTTTTAGCTTTTTTCTTTTTTTTTTCCCATTTAGTTATTGTTTTGGTGGTTGGTGGTTTTAATAACTCCTATATAAGGAGTGTGGATAGTTAGAAGATAAAATATAGTCTGTCCACCATCCTCTGCATCTTCATGAGTGCAGAAAGCAACATCTTATAGACCAAACAGAGTTGTACTGGTGTATCTGAGGGCAGCATTTGGCATTTAGAGCCTAATTTACCACTAATTAGCCACTGCTGGTGTGAAAGAGGATGTGTGGGGGTGTGTCTGTATGTATATTATATTTATAAATGTATATATATATGATAGATATGTATAAACAAAAATATATAAAATCTAGCACTGCCTCTTTTTTTTGTTTTGCTAATTGCCATAAAGAGTACTACAAACTTGTTTCATTCAGTCAGCCAGCAGCTGTGGCTCTTGATTCTTGTATGGGATGGTGTAAGTAAAGACTGACAGTTGACTTAAATGTAGTCACTTGTTGATGCAGAAATAGAAGTAGGACTGCATTCAGAATGTAAAAGGCTATTGACAAGAAGAATATTCATATTTCCGTGAATATTCTTCTAATTAAAAGGGGTGGGTTTTTTTTTCTTCTAAAGTTGGTTGCTGTTAATTGGAGTTTTCTTATTGCTACATCTACACAGAGAGTATAATCAGGAGGTTGATATTAATTTCTGTTGTATTATTTACCAATTAAAGAAACATGCACTTGAATCTTTTACCATTTCACTAAGAATTCCTAAAATGGACAAGCTTCTCTTGTGCATATCTTAGTATTATGCAGAGAATCTGAGTTTTAACCAGTATCTTGAGGTGATGGCTACTTTTGCTAAAATAAGAATAGAATGTATTTTTTTGTTTTCTGTTTGGTTTGGTTTTGGTTGGTTGCTTGGTTTCTTTTTTTGATTCTGAGTGGACTGTTGGGAAGGCAAACTGATGAGAGTAAGGGTGCTGTCAAATTTGGGAGAAGCGTGCTGTAGCATCTCAGTTTCTGGATAGTCATTAAAATTGTTTCATTCTTGATATCTTAAATGAAGTTACAAAAGCAGATGGTACTGTTTTGTCCAGAAAAGGTGGGCATATTTGCAGTGGCCTGCACAGCATCTTTTTCAATCTTCTATTTCCTTTAAATCAAAAAATATTTGACATCTCAAACATAACCTAACCTCTAACTAGAGTTAAGAGCCAGAAGCAAACTGTATGCTGCAATAGTAAAAGCTTTACTAAATCAAAGGCATATCTTCAGAAACAGTATTTACACTTTTCTGTTTGCCAGCTCTGTACATGTTACACAGCTGGCAGTCTGGTTTTGATCTGTCTTTTCACTAAGCAGTTGCATATGTGGTTGAAAGCCAATATTAAACAAGCAGCTCTTCCTTCTGGATTAACTGATTTCCTAGCTGAACGTAGAAGAGATTATTCTGTAAGTCACATTTAACAACTGCAGCTGTTTGTTCAAAGAAAGGTAAAGTCATCATGATGCTTGACTTAGAACTTGCATTAGTGATTGAATTAGAAAAGATAGCGAGTTTAAAAACTGGCTGAAGTATTGGTTAAAATATAAGCATATAGGTGTGCCATACAAGCTGACTTGCTTTGAGAGAATCCCAAGTATCAGTAGAGGCCCGTAAAGGGAAATCTTGGCTTTTCTGTCAGGTTGTTAAGACGACTTAAAACGTTTATTTACAGATTATAAGCACAGGCTTTCTCTTTTTTTGGGCCATGCTTCTAAATAGCTTTTTGAAGTTGTAATAAAATCTAATTGTCTCAAGAAATCTAAATTTTTTCTTTCTTTTTCTTTCTAGGCTCGGTTGAAGTAACTGAAGCAAATCTTGTAAGAGATGTTTTGTATGTCTTCCAGGGAATAGATGGCAAAAACATCAAAATGTGCAATTCTGAAAATTGCTATAAAGTGGAGGGAAAGGTACTGTATGGTGACTGGTATTTCATATGTGAGCAGAGATGCATGTAGGGGAAAAACAGCCATGAAAAATGTGTAAAAAAAATAAAAAAATAAAGAACATTGTCACAAGTCATTACTCCTCCCCCAGTTTTTTGTTTTGTTTTGTTTTGTTTTTTTTTAGTACAACAGAGTAGTTTCAACAGTACTAATTTAAAAATGATTGGGTAGATTAGGTCCCAGAAAGAAACTAGTATTTCACAAGATGTGTATAGACTCCAAACTATTAAGCCAGTACAAAGACTCCTAGATTATGGCATAATTTGAGGATTTTGGTCATCATTTCCCCTCTGCAGCATAGAAGAGGCTATTGACTACATTATTAGTGGATTAAATTTGCCAGCCTGAAATGTAGAACGGATGCTAGCTGCTTGATATTATGGTCTTGATTACAACTTATAAATGATCAGATTAGATAACGCAGATCACCCAAGAAAGCACTGTGCCAGAACTGAAGAAAGTGCTTTCAACTCCTGTTGTTCATAGAAAATCCAGCTGATGTGAATTTGAAGGAAGGTGTCAAAAAAGGGGCAGAGGAACAGGAGAGAAGCCTGAGGGAGAAAAGATCTTGCTTTAAGGTGACAAGATGTTAAGTGTATTTGCAGTGTGGAGAAGAACCAAGGGTGAGATTGGTTCAGATGAATAAAGAACAAAAAGGTGGCACTAGTTGCTTTAGCATCTTCTCCTTATTCAGCATTTAGACAATACTGCAGCACAATTTTTATCTCACTAAGTGGTTGCCATGTTCTTGTTCAAGTGGAAAGACAGTGCTTCTGGTTTTCATATGTGTTAAGAATGTTATACTATGATAATATGACATAGTCCTAAAATGGCGAGGAATAGATTTTGGGCCATTTCATATTCTAAGAGCACAGTAGACTTATCTTAATGTTGACGATAACTGAACTAATTTTCTCCTCCGTAATAATAGCAAAAAGTGAAATATATAATTGTTGCCCCCTCTTACTTTACAATGACATGTAGGGCTGCTTAGTGGAGGGAAAAATGGAAAACTTAAATCTTGTTAAGTCAGTCGACATCCTGAAGAATCTGTTTATTATCTTCTGTACCTGTAGATGCTGCAAAATTTGTAATTCCTCAGCACCTGCACTGAGCTAATTATGTTCCATATATGTCAGACTATATATGGGAAAGGAAAGGTAGCATAATAGATTTTTCTAGAGGACTGTGAAGAAAACTTAGTGATTGCAACATTGGCACTATGAGTTTCATTAGTTTTCTGTGTAGCTTTCATATCAAATAGGCTAGTTTGTAGTGAAAAGCTGCTTTAGTTTGAATTCCTAATTCTGTTAATACAGAGAGGTTTATTATTTGGGTGGATTGTGGTCAGTAATACTTTTTCCTAAGAACTGTTTGTCTTCAGTTATTTTTGGAAGTCACTTGTCTTCCATCCTTTTTCCTTATTGGCACTTGTACTGAGATACTGGACCCAGTGAAAAAATTATTTGACTGACTAGAGCTGCAGCTGGAACTTTCTCTGATGAACAAGAGGACCAAGGTCATACCTCCTCTAGATGTTGACTGCATCTTATGCAAAATAGTATTCAAAGCATGCAGTTTTCCCTCAGCTGCACAAAGAAAATGACGTTGTACACAGTCTTTTTTCCAGAAAGGAACATACTTTCCAGGATGTTAGTGTTGCTTGAATGTCAGTATTAATATTAGGTCTGTTGGTGACATTCAGCACTGTATAAGCTAGCAGCTTCTGATTTGATCTAAGAGATACAAAAATGTAATAACACTAAGCCAGTTTTGTTTGTTCCTGATTTGATTCCTGATTTGATTGTACTTAATGCTTGCCAAGTACTCTGCAGTGGCAGAATTCTAAATAGTTCTTATGTCATCATTTTAGTTTTAGCTGTGGGCAGTTTCAAATTGTGTCCAATTTTGCTTGTTTAGGCTGGAATTTATCCTACAGAAGTTGTTCAAGACGTTAAAGCTGTGGCTTTACAGCTAAACGAGCACTAGGGAGGGAACTCTGCTCTTAAAACCAGATGCTGCTGCCTGGTTCAAGCCCACACTGCTGTGATTAATACACTCTCTAGCTGATTTTTATCTTAGAGAATACCTGTGCTGCTGACTGAAAGACTTAATGAATTAGCTTGATTTCTAGTTCTTCGGCAATCCGTTTAGCTTGTTAATGTATTTCCTGTCTTTGGTTTGGACTGTTCCAACTGGCTTTCAAAGTTAGAATTGTCTGTAGAGATGGGATAGGCCCAATCACTGTGGGCAGTCAGTGTCTGCCTCTTGGCCTAATCTGTTGGGGATTTTGTCCTATAAAATTTAGAAAACTTGATGATGGTTTTCTTGGGTAACATCGTGAAACGTGGTAGAAGCAAATCTCAAGTAGGAACAAGAGGAACAGCATCTTGTCTGTTGGTAATTTAAAGGAAGAAATGTGCTGATTCAGATGAAAATAGCAATAGTAGTTAAATAGGGTGTTGGAACTAAGGCAAACTTTTAGGGTGAAGTGAGATACCTGATATAAGTAGAAACATACTAGAAGAGCTTATGGGGCATGTGATTAAATAGCTTATAAAAGCTGTTACCAGTACATTGGACTTGAGCTTAGAATTTGAATTCTGTAAGTTTTGGTTCCTGATACCTAGTCTGGTATTGGGTCATTTGTTTTCTATTATTAGTCACTACTACATGTGAATCAAACCTATTATTTTCTCTAGGTTTCTTCATTAGTTTCAGTCATTAACTCCTCTTCTAGAGCTCAAATATTTTCAGTCTTGCTGATAATCAGGATAAGATGAAGTGTAATTCTACATCATAAAATTTCAGATTTCTTCCTCTTTTCTGAAGACCTTTTTGTTACTGCCATAATTGCCTAATGTAAAAAGAGTGTATGAATATAAGATTTCCAAAAGGGAGGGTCACAAAGTTGCCAGTAGTTTGTTGCTGCTGCCTTTTCAATGGTTATGTGTATAAACTGTAATTTATTTATTTGTGTATTTCTTGTGATTTATTATTTATTCAAATTTAATTAAAACAAGTATTGGCATGGTAGATTTGACTTAACTGCAAGTTACTGTTTCTGTTAACTTTGTAGGTGAGCTTGTCCAAATCTCTCAGAGATACTACAAGTAGGCTTGCAGAGCTCGGATGGCTACATAATAAAATAAGAAAATACACAGACCAGAGGAGTTTGGATCGTGCGTTTGGACTTGTGGGCCAGGTAGGTCAGCTAAAAAATGGATTTTGACACAACATTTTGGTCTTGTTTCCCTTAGAAACTACTGAGTAAACGCAGTACTAGAATGATGTGTAAACTTTGGAGCTTGGACCATTCATCCTTTGATTTACTCCTTTTATGGAATGCCACGTTTGTTATGGGTCATAGTCTGAAGGCAAGGGAAAGGCATTTGCTCTTGCTGGTTAGAAGGAATTGGCCCTGTCACTTGTAGCTGAAAGGTCTCACACATAATTCCCTCTTAATCTTCCTTTTTTTTTTTCCTAAATTCATAATTTTTTTTTTTAAGTACTCATGCATGTTTATAAACAAAACTATTGCTTAAATGGGATGGTGGCATCCCTGAACTAATTAATCACCAATTCAGTTACAGTGATCTATGCAGGAGACACTTTTGTCAGCTAATGTTGTTGTTTGTCTGTTAATACTGCACTAACTTACATAAAATGCAAATACCCATTATCTTTTGCCCTTTCTTTTAAATACAGCATCAAAAGAATATTAATTTTTGTTTTTATAGGTTTCATCATCATGATTTGTAGTCTACAGTAACTTCACAGCTGCTGTAATACCCAAAACCACATTTACTGCTAAGGCATTCCCGTTTCCTCTCACTTGCTCCCTCTGTAAAACTGGATATTATCCCTTCTGAGTCGACAGAAATGTTATTCTTGCCTCTAGCCATAACATCCTACCTAATCTGCCAAGAAATTGAAGTGCTTCTCCCTTCAATCTAATTTTTCTTAAGAGGTCAGTAGAGACACTGTAGTGCTTCCTACTTTTCTAATGTTTTATTCTGTTCCCTTCTGTCTCTTATTCTAAGTAACTCTTTTAGTTACAATATAAGTAATTATTTTTCTAGTGATCCAATGCTGATTTCCATGTTTTATATGGTAATGCTACTGTGTATGCATTTTCTTCAGACTCTCCCCTTATGTCTGGGTGAAGTTTCTAATTCTTTATCTGGTAGCTTCCTGCTTATGCTTATTTTTACTGTCTCTGGCTTTAATCTTGAAGTTTACAGTAAGGGGAGAACTTTAATTCTTCATTGAATTTAAATGTGCAATGTCTTAGCTACAATATGCAGGTTTTGATTCCTGTGCAGAGAGCTGTGCAGTTACTTTGCTGAATCTGCATAGCTCTAATGCTCTTAATTTTGCTTGAGGCAAGCACTTCTATGCATATTTCTAGGACATGAGTGTACAAATAAAAACATATATTCTATTCTACTCCTGCTGTCAGTATCTGGGTAAAAAGATTATATACCATTGTTCTTCATGGCTTTTATAGCTGACAATTTCAGGTATTGCACACTGTATATAAAGAATTGAGCACAAGAATGTGTTGTGCCTTCTAAAGCATCTTTTGCTTAATATTTTAAAAGAATGCTTGTGTAAACCCCTGTTTAAACCATGTGTAGGGTAAGATGTCTGTCACCTCTTTTGTTATGATTCTGGTGGCTGTTTTTACTATGCAAATTATCAGGTATTGACAATTATTAAGAGTAGAGATACAACACTATACTACACTTTAACATATTCTTCTATCTTTACTGCTTAGTATCTAAGTTCTAATTTGTCCTCAGGAAGCAAAAATTAAAAAAAATCAGCAATGAAATGCCTTATATTTTGACTTTTTTTTTTTTCTGTTGAACAAGCATTCTGTTTCCTTCCTGAATTCTCTTCTGTTGTAGACCAAATCAGAATTCTAGGATAATGTCCAGTTTTTCTTAGCAGTTTGGGAAATAAAAATCTGTAATCTGTGGTGGAGGAATTGGCACTGGATGTAAATTTTAACTTCTAAAGCATCTCTGAAAAGTTGTTGGCCAGTTAGATCTTAATCCCTTTTGGCTACTGATGTCAATGATTACTGTTCTCACTTTTTGAGGAGATGTTTGGTGCCTTTGAATGTTTTCTTGGAGGCTCTATTCTGCCCTCTATCTTGACGAGTGCTACTTTAATAGGTTCAAAAATGTACTGAAGAAGCAAGTGAGAAGAAATGAAAAGTGGAGTTACACATAAAGAGTTTTCTTTTTGCCCTTCAGTATCCTCTGGAATAAAATGAATTTCAAATGTCTTTCTAATTTATGATGTTGAGTTGAACAAAGGAACCCTCTTTCCTTCAAACAGATATAATGGCAAGATTAATGGTTTGGTGGTTTGGCTTTGTTGGGTTTTTTTTTCCCCCTAGGCTTCTTAGCCTCTTAGTGGGAAAGAAGATTTATTTTCTGCTTGTGCTTGAAGTAATGATTTCTGCCTTGTACATACTCTAGTCAATAAATATTGTACTTTAGCTCTTGAGTTCTTTTTGTGAGGTTTTCCTTATGTTTTCCAAATTACTTTGATTGTGATCATTTTAGAAAGGGTTGAGGAGAAAAGTCCTGCAGAATTGCCTATTAAAAAAGTCCATTAATCAAGATATCAAAATCATTAGCTGAGAATTTGTTAAGAAATCAGTTGTGAACAATTTGTGTTTGCGCATGGGAGTATTCTTCAAAAAAGGAAATCATAACAACTTGCCACAAAAAGAAACAAAAAACACCACAAACAACGTGCTTAAAGTCCAAAATTTTTAATTCAGTCCAAAATTAATGAGGCATATTTTTAATTCTGTTTTAGGAAATGCGTTGCAGGATATTTTATTTAGTCTGTATATTAGGTTAAGAACATTACAGAAACAAAGCAAAGCCCCAGGACCCCAAACTGTGGAAAACTATCTGTTACTAAACAAGTATTCTTTCAGGAATAGTCTTTAAAATCTACCTCTATTTTTTTATTTTTTTTTCTTTTTTCTCCTCTCATAGAGTTTTTGTGCAGCCTTACATCAGGAACTTAAAGAATACTACCGACTTTTGTCTGTTTTACATTCTCAGGTAAGTTAAGTGGTTCTCATTTAACTTTCTTATTTTGCTTTACATTATCTGAATATCCCCTTGGAGGTATGCCTAGAGAAGGATGCACACACAGCAGTTTCTATTGACAGTGGACACAATTCTCTGTAACATACCAATGAGTATTTTTCTCATAGAAATTCACTGTTATCTGATGTTTTACGTAAGCAATTATCATAATATGTCATTTAGAGATAGAGCAGTAGTTCATCTAGCCAGGTTTCTGACAGAGGATGGAATTTCTTATGTTCATAATTTATGGAGCAGAAATCTTTAAAAAAGAAGTCAGCATTCTGAAGACTTGTGGCAGATTATCCCAGAGGTGAGCTTGGTGACTCGTCAGTTTTATTTTAAAAAGTGATGAGAAAAAAAATCTACTTTTTGGAAAGACTCTTTATTTACAAAACAGTACATTTAGTTACTTGAAAACATGTAGAAATTGTGCCTTGGAATTGAGTGCATGCTACATCTTGTATTTCAGAGATCATACAGGCTGCCAGCTTAGTTGTTGTTAGCTGCAGGTCCAGTTAGCAGTTCAGGCATAGTAGTACATAACAAGAATCTCATCGAAGGATTCAATATTGTCTTCAGAGCTTCCCTGAAACATGGTTCTGCCTGAGAGTTGCCCTGAGTGTATTGTGTGCTATTCCATAAGCTTTTCAGGTGGTCTTGCAGACTGTTTTCACATTATTGGCCCATTTAAAAATGAACTTCCATGATGATGTAAGGGTATTATCTCTTCTGTAAAGACAAAGGGCAGGTTTCGCTCTATATCTCTCTCTTATCATTGCCAATTTCCAAACAAACAAAACTAACTAAACAAACAAAGTGTGGACCCAGGAGCATCCAGAAGCTAATAAATGTAACTGGTTTTAAAGCTGAGATTAATGTGGATAACACTAATCTTAAGTTTAACTGATATGTGCTAGATGTGGAAGCATGAAGTGGATTGGTTATTGCATTCAGGAAACAGAGCATCTTTGCTAAGACTTTATCTGCTTGAACTGCTCTAGAAACTTCCTTCTGTATTCCTGGGTTGTGTTTTTATCCTGCTTACCTCAGTGGTACTTGTATGAAATGTACATTTGCATCTCAGGTGCAAATATTTGGCTTTCATTTTCCATGGTGTTGTAAGATTCAAGGTAGTTGCATTGTGACAGTTTTTTTCTTTTATTGTCTTTTTCAGTGGTAGCAATTCCTTAATCTCACTATGTAGTTAACACGTTCTGATGGCTTCTGAATGGCTTCTGGAGGAAAACTGAACAAAATTTATCTCATGTTGAACTAAAATAAGCTGGCTGTGCAGTTATAAAAAGTTTACCTCCTACACCCTTCCTTTCCTTTAGATGTTTTTCTTTACTTTTTTCTGAGCATCCCTTTGGCCAGTGTTTGCTGTCTTTCAGGATCTCTGCCCTCTTTTCCTTTGCTCTTCTTTTGTAACTATCTGTCACCTTGCTTTCTTTAACCTTCTTAGCCTTTATGCACTGTTGTCCCTATTAAACTTCCACGTGTCTCTGTCCTTTCACCTGCATTTGGTTCTCCATTTCTGCTTGTGTGGCTCTTGGGTTTTGGCTCAATGATTTAATGAGAGAACATATAATACTGGGTATTTCAAATGTATTAGTAAAGAGCTAACTTCAGAACAAAAAGTATGAAACATCAGTTCTGCTTCAGATTTGCTGGATTTGTTCCTTGATACGTCTTTCTGTTTCTAATTTGATCAGTTGCAATTGGAAGATGATCAGGGCGTGAATTTGGGACTTGAGAGCAGTTTAACACTTCGCCGGCTTCTAGTCTGGACATATGATCCTAAAATAAGGTTAAAGACCCTTGCAGCACTTGTTGATCACTGTCAAGGTCTGTTTAACGTCAATTTAATATGTCTGGGGAAGTTACGTAACTTTGAGTGGTTGTGCATGTCGAAGGTGGAGATCACTAATATTGCTGCTGTGGTTTTTTGTTGGTTTTTTTTTTAGAAATTTTTAAGTAGCTAATCCAGAGGGTTTTCTCTCTTTTAGTTTAAGCAAAATCCTGGTGAATTATGGTGTTGTTTGGATACACTTAGATGATCTTGTTGTTTTTTGGTTTTTTTAACTAGAACATGCTTGAGAAATCCTTCAAATTTTAAGCACACACTTTTCATGCTGTTTTCAATTTTAGTCATCTTTCAGAGAATGTTACACTGTTAAAAAAACCCCACTAATGCATTGTGAAATGGTTGGCTTAGTCTCTTCACTGTGTATGAGTATTTTGCTATTCCTCTGTAAGTGATGGCATATAGGAGTCATTTGCAACCTGTCGGCAGGTTCATACGAAACAACAAAACTTTACAAACCTGCCAGTAGCGGATGGCTGCAAATGCTGAGAAGTGGTGTTGGAGTCGACCAAAACTTTGGCCAATAACTTACCTATAGGCTGTGCTTTGTTCTGAGGGTACTTCTCTGCTGTCTTTGAAAATAAATGGTGATTGTTGCTCTTTGTAAAGAGCATGTGTCATAGTTTAACCAGAAAAAGCCTACGTCTGTTATACCTCAGTTATCGGAATTGATAACAATTGGGGGGACAGGGGGGTAAAGGGAGAAAGAGGAAGTGGGCTTTACTTTTAAGACATTTATGAAATTTCTTCTACCGAGAAGCCAGAAACATGTGTTTGTGTGTGTGTATGCACACAGAACGTCTAAGAGATAGTCAAGTACAGGAAAGAAGGAAAACATACTAAGGCTCTTTTAACGCTATTCTGGTAGGGGAAGAAAAGAAGCTTGAAGTGAATCTTTGTGTGTGATGATGCCTTGAAATTTGCATTCCTCCAAGCTACCGTAAAGTAGACAGAATATGGTGTCAGAGAACTCTGCTTGATGTTTCAGTGAGATTAATAATTTGTACCTTAAAACCTTGGAAATCCCTGTCAACATTAAAAAATATATTTTTCCTACATTTTAGAATTGCTGTTCAGCAAGCTGTGAATAGCATATGACTAGCTAAAATCAGTGGCTGCTAAATTTTAGTGTGGTGTGTATATTCTTTCCTTCACACATTTCTTTTCCTCTCCCCTATAATCTCACAGGGAGAAAAGGTGGCGAACTAGCCTCAGCAGTTCATGCCTATACTAAAACAGGAGATCCCTACATGAGATCTCTGGTTCAGCACATTCTTGGCCTAGTATCCCATCCTGTACTGAATTTCCTTTATCGCTGGATTTATGATGGAGAGCTGGAGGATACATACCATGAGGTAATGTATGTGATACAATAAATACTTGATCTTGGTTCGTTTGCTTTGTGGGAGTATAATCTGTGGGAAGCCTAGAGGAGAATTTGAAAAGTAGACTGTGATGGAAATGAATGACATATGAGTAAGTAATATATACAGTAACAACATGACTCTCTTCATGGATGCAGTCAGTGTGATATTTGCAGGTTGCAGTGGTGCGGTGTGTTGTCTCAGTGAGTCATATCCTGTGCAAGTTTAGTAGAGGCAGAATGGTGGGCTAACAATAGATGCTTCTGTAGAGAGAGAAAGTCATCTTTCTATCTTTTCTTGCTTAGTGTAAATCCAGTAATGTATGCAGAGTTCTTTGTAAGTGATTAGAATGCAAGCCTTGTATTTGAAATAAAGTTAAGAATATTCTATTCTGACTACATACTGTTATCCTCAGCTTCGTAAATGTCTTCAGTTTGTCAAATTGTGTAGAAGAGGTTCACGGTTCCAGAGTTCCTCTATAAACTCTGTAGAGTTATGTGTTCTGACTTCTGTAGCAGCAAGTTCTAGTAACTGTCCTTTTTCTTCTTTAAACTTTTTTATGGCTTTTTAAGCTCTCACAATTATTTTTCCTCTCTCCAATCAATACAGTCTTGTTAAAAGGACATTTTTTGGATCCAAGAAGCCAAAGGATCGTTTTTAAAAATTAATTGAGCACTTCTGAGATGCATCTGAGTAACTTTATTTGTGTGTGAAATATACTGTCTGACTTCTGAAACTATCTGGGTCAAAACTGAGTACAAATGGTCACCGACAGCTGATCTTTAAGGTCAGCATTAGAGACTTGTGTGAAATGTCTACAAATCTCTATGGCTAGAAGTGTAAAACAGACTTTACTTGTTTTCCTAGCTATTCCTTAGATATGTGAGATGGTGTCTTTTTGGGGTTTTGCATCATTCACTAGCTTTCAACTTTATTTAAAAATTTTCATGTAAGAGTATTCTTAATACTGAAGATCACTGTTGGATGTGGCTACGATTTTCATACCATCAACGAAGTTTTTAAACGAAGACAATTGGCCGTACTTAATGGAAATGGTATTTGGAGACAGTGAAAAAAGTTCTTGTTGGAAAATGGGTATCTTGTTTGGCAGGATGAGGACAGAATCAATGAACATGTCATTTTAACAAAACTAATCATGTATTTTTAGTTTCTTACAAATAAAAGTATTCTCTTCTGTGGAGCTGAGAGACTTGAACATTTGATCACCAGTTCAGTTGCAGGTTTTCTTGGTCTTGGGTTTGTTTTGGTTTTTTTTTCTTCAATTCTGCATCTGTAAAAGTAGGAGGAAATCCAAAGGGACCTGAGTAAAAGCAGAAGTAAAAACCAGAACCAGTAAAATAAAATTATATTATGCTTATATTGTGAGCTTTATCTCCTACTCTAACTGTATAACTAATTGCCAGAAAATGCTGTATGCTTCTGTATTTTATACTGGAAGTTTCACACCTAGTACACTTTATCCTGAGATAGTCAAGGTTTCATAATGTACAGAGGAGATTTCTGCATGCAGAAATTAAATACTAGGGGAGAGAGTTTACATTTTTGTTCTTAATATTTATTTCAATCTACAGTTTTTTGTAGCTTCAGATCCTACAGTTAAAACTGATCGGTTGTGGCATGACAAATACTCTTTAAGGAAATCAATGATCCCTTCCTTTATTACAATGGAGCAGTCAAAAAAGGTATGAATTTGAAAGTTAATCTTCTGACGATTTGTTTGCCCTATGCTGCCATTTCCATTAAAAAAGTAGAGACTAAATTTAACAATAAATAAGAATTCTTAAGAATTTTTTAGAATTGTTTGCTCAGGAAGCCTGTAAGACTGTTTCTCCTTTCCATTCTTTAACAGATAAATTTTGTTTAAGAAGATTTGAAGGGGGTTGGGAAGAAGTTTGTGTTTAAAACCGTTCTGTGTTAGCATAGAAGTTCTGGACTGCTGTGATTGGTATTGTGAAGCTAAGAGCACAGAAAGATGACAAAATACCCTATTTTGGTGATAGTGATTTTGGTGATTCACTTTTTTGTTTGGTGGTTTGTTTGGTTTGCTGGGGTTTTTGTTTTGTTATATACAAATCACTTTTTTTTTTTTTTTAGGTCCTCTTAATAGGAAAATCCATAAACTTCTTGCATCAAGTTTGTCATGATCAAACTCCCTCCACAAAGATGATTGCTGTGGCAAAATCTGCAGAGTCGTCAAAAGATGGTAGAGTATCAGTGTTAGCTTCCTCCCTTTGAACTGAGCTCTCTACGATAGGTGTTTTAGACTGTAAATTGGCATTTTGGATAGTAAGGTGGAAAGGACTAGAAAAGTCCCACCTGCCCTAAAATACAGGTATTTTAATAGATACTTGTATTTTACACATATGTGTAATTTTCTTAATATGATATGTTTGCTGGGTGATTGTTAATGTACTGGAATTTCTGAATGAAAACATTGAGGAACCAGTCTGTCTTCAACTGACTTTTGTTGAAAAAGCTGGGGTGGGAGCAGGGATGTTCTCGAGTGCTACAGTAAGAATTTGATGCTTGTTACTTCTCATCAAATAGACTTTGTTACTTGATTCCATAATAGTACTGAATTAATTCTGTGATACAAAACCAATAAATAATCAATTAGTTGCAAGTAAGAGAATGAGCCTTTTTGTAAATACAGTCTACCACTATGTTCTGTCCAAAGAAAACTGAATATGTAGAAGGTTAGTAAAAGTCTTTTTGAAGATTACTTAAAATTGGGGTTGCCAGCTGTTGAATGTTAAACCAAAACTTAAGAATCAGAATTCCTTTAGGTTCTTTCTTTCTATTTAGAAGAAAATTCAGTTTTAATGAATGAGAATGTATATACCATTTGTGGTTTTTCTTTGATGGTGTATTCTTAGCACTGAAATAAACATTGTTATGATGAAAGATAGCAAATAATAAACATCTAAACCAAGGAGGCTTTATGTGTAAATACTAAGCAAAGAAGGTAAGGCAATGTGTAGGATACTGCTGCATCTGGGAGAAAGTACAACTTGCTTTCTTCTGGTGAAGGTGATATTCTTCTCCTGTAACTGTAACTTCTTTTTATAATTTGTCTAATATACCAAAGAGAGTCTAATTGTTAAGGTGCAGATCATGGGGATAATTTTTCTGATGCTATTTTGCCAAGAGGATAATTATCTAAACATTTGGGATTTTTTAGAACATCCTCCTTTGTACTTCTTAATACCTTGTACAGTATTTTTCCTGTTATTCCTGTACTCAAATATGACTTTATTATACATAACTATGAAGCTTGGTTTTGTGGGATTGTCCCATGTCTGTCTGCTCCCCTCCCCTGATTAACCTTGGGTTAGTTTTTATATTAACTCTTCACAGCATGGATTTTTAGCATGAGTGCCTCCGTGAAAAATGTTCTAATAACAAAATCCCATTCATATCTGCAAGAGTGTTTCATCTAATAATGTGATTTTTGTACCATGTACAGTGCTTGCCTAGTCAAAGATGAACTTGAAGTGCAGAGAAGGGTCAGGATTAAGTGGATAAGGGCTCTAAATGCATTTGAACCATCATCTTGCCTGCCATTCCTGAAAAAGGCAAAAACATTCTTTCACTACACTACTTCCAACACTTTACATAGAGCTTATGGCCATGCTTTTTCGATTTTGGGGTTTGTTTTTTGTTTAATTTTGCACTTGTTTCTCTCCTTTGATTGAATGGAAGATCTGCACAAATACAGGTTCCCTGTTATGTAGAGGCCGAGAACTTCAAAGCAAGTATGCCATCTTAAGTGCTGAGAATACCTGTTTCAGACAGAAGTGTAGTTTTAGAAATAGATGTTATCAACTATATCTGCAGTGTGCTGAAGGCAGGCTGAGCTTATGGTCTGCAGCCTAAATACCTCACAGTATTGCACTGCCTTAATTCTGCACAAAACTGCGCTTGTCTTCAGGGCATTTTACCCATTCAATCCAGAAAGAACATTCTGTGTCAGTGATGTTGGAAATACATACTGTCATCCTTGTTTGTGCCATCTGACAATATCCTGAGAGTCCATTCTGATAATTATACTGAGGTGATGAAAGCTAGGATGCCAACCTGAATACTTTTTCTCATTTTAAATCGGAATGTTTTATTGGTTTGGCTGTATTTTTTATTTCTTTAATTTATTTGCCTTGGAACTTTAACTTTCATGTTTTCTCAGTTTCTTTTTGAACTTCACAGGGTACTGAATGAGAGTTAGGAAAACTCAGGGAATGTCATTGAACCAGCCATTGTGAGGTTTCCTCATTAAAGAGTGACCTCTTTATTAGAGCCACTGTTTATTTATTCAATTTAAAGGCACTTTATTAATTGACACTGAATCTTGTCAGAACAACATGAAACTTGGTTTTAATTTTTTCTTAAAAAAAAAAAGTCAGTTGAAACTAATCCTGGAGCAGGGCAGTGCAGTGACTTATACTAATTTGGTACATGGATCTTCATTTTTCATCTGTAGAGCAATAGTTGTTTAATTAAAAATCGTTGAAAGTGGGGGTATATCCTTTAATGCTGAGGAAGGTTTGAGTCTTAATAGTTGGTAGTCCAGTATTTAGAGTTTTGCTCCATGTTGCCTGAAGAGGTCACACTTCCTGCTATCTTGTAACAGTCTTATTGCAGTTCCTTTCTTGATAAGCTTGTAGTCGTAGAAAAGAGTGAAATACACTTCCAACTAAAGGGCAGTGTCCTACTTTCTACCCCTAAATTGCCATGTATTAAACGTGAAGAAAACATCAGGTTGACGGCTGTCCCCAAGATAATACAAGCGTATTCCCTCCTTTTTCATTCTGGCTTGTACTTGGGAACTGTTTTCTGTTAAATGTTCTGACTGATTTTTTGGTTCCTGCACACACACATGCTTAGAAGTGACTTTTGATTAGATTCCACCACAGTAAAGCTTTTCCCTATGAGTTTTTAGAGCTCCTTCAAATTATTTGATTCTGCAAATTGCAGTATTTCAGCAAGCTTAAAAAAAAATAAATCGCTTTCTGTGTAGAAGTGATGAAATAACATGAGCTCTTATTGGAAGGTACAAACTGGGCAGAGAATAAAAGTAATAATGTTGACTTATGGGCTGCTTTAGACTTGCTTTTGCTTTGGCTGTGTGTCCTGGTTTTGTATAATACAGTGGATCAGAATAAATAACAATTTATCTGCTCATATGTTTTAATTCCAAAGCTTGCTTGCCTCCATTTTAGAAAAATACTAATTTTTAATTTTTTATTTTTATTTTTTTTTTTTTAGCTGCTGATTTGTTCACAGATCTGGAAAATGCATTTCAAGAGAAAATTGATGCAGCTTATTTTGAGACCAGCAAATACCTGCTGGATGTTCTCAATAAGAAGTACAATTTACTGGAACACATGCAAGCCATGAGGCGATACTTACTACTTGGTCAAGGAGACTTTATCAGGCATTTAATGGACTTACTCAAGTAAGAGAGTAGGAGGGATAATTATGTTGAATTTCTGATGCTTGCAAATGTGCATGATCAGCACAGAAACTGTTTTGCTTTTGGAAGACGACCCTTTAAGTATCTTATTACTCAAAGGTTTAATTGAACAACTTTTATATTCTATTTTGCATTTAATTTCTTTGACCCTGAGGCTTAAACTTTGTTCTTCCTTTTTGATAGGAAGTATATATGGTACCATTTCACATTGTCATGAAAAGTTGGACTAATACAGATACTTTGCACTGACCCTGTGACAGTGTCACGGATGTTAGCACTTCTCTCACTCCTGTCAGCAAGTTTAAGCAGTAAAGTTCTGTTGCTCTTGATGGCACTAGTTAACACTGCTGTGAATGTTAGGCTTTTGTATATTGGAGGTGTTTGGTCCAGAACACTGTATCAACACCCTCAGTGCATTTTTAAAAACTCAGTTCATGCCTCACCAACCTGTTTTAAGCAGTCAGGTGCACCCACAACTATCAGTTTCAGTTTTTGAAGTGTATTTGCAAGCTCACTGCTTTTACATGATGGTGCTATTGATGACACTTAGTCTATCAAAAATGTCCTTTATAAAGCTTTTGTTTGGTCTAGAAGGCTTTGTAATAGAGCTTCCATTAACTTGTTTGTAAATCAAAATCAACATTGTCTGGTGATGATTTGTACATGACTATGCTTTTTAAAGTGAAAATTACTGTGAAGGAGAATAAGATTGGGTTGTGGAGTCAGTATTGCATTTGAGGTAGTAGCAATGAGGGACTTTCCAGTACTGGTCATAGGGGAGAGTAGTTAGTAGTGCAGGGTACTTGAATGGTGCAACTCTTTAGAAAGTTTAAGTACATAGAGAGTGTGGGTTTGTGTGATTCTGCCAACACTTCTAAGACTGTGAGACAGCTATCAGCAAGTCTCTCAAAACTGAAATTAAATTATTGATTTGATGTATTAATGATGCAATCTGCTTCATTTTAGATATGAATTCAACTCAAATTACAGAGTGGTTATGCTAGCAATCCTGGTAATTTCAGATTATTGGCATTAAATGAGGATAAAGTTACTCCTCATGCTGATGTGCAGATGTATAGCTGCATATTAATAGACATATTCTGCTCAAGTATTTTGCTCATTGGTGTTTTTTTGTGGTTAAGACAAAGAGTAATATGAGAGGTTTTAAAGTCTATCAGAAAAGTGTTTTACTGTGTGCTGCAGTTATTACCAAACTGCTGCTGCAGAATATCTCAGTAATGTGCCATGACTGTTTGTTTCATAACCACCAGGCCAGAGCTTGCACGACCAGCTACAACCTTATATCAGCATAATCTCACTGGAATCCTTGAAACAGCGGTGAGGGCAACTAATGCCCAGTTCGATAATCCTGAAATTCTCAAACGATTGGATGTTCGACTTCTGGAGGTCTGTTTCATGATGGTGACTCTGACCTGGCCTCTGTGTGTGTATACATGCAGAAATCTATGTGAAAATTTTCATATGTGTATAGAGTAAATACATTTCCCCCCACCTCTTTCCACTGAAGTCTACTTTGAATAATGTAAACCTAATCTAGTAAGTCTTCTCTTCTTTTCCCGTTTCCTGCCTATTGTCTATTTGTATTTCAAGCTGTGAGTTTACAGTTATTTCATTTACAATACAAAGTTAAGCATTTGGGGTCTAATAATAAAGGGTGCTGGTGGCCTGGTTTGAACCTCCTACTGCTGTTGAATTTACAAGAATCTGGGGGGTGGTCTCTCTGTCACCAGCAGTTTACAAAGAGTGAAGCAATCAAAGTGCGTTTCATGGAGACCTCTGGTGAGTTCACTGGTGGACTGTGGTATCTGATATGTCTATACCTTAGATTGAGTCTTGCCTAAGAAATTATCCTTCCCTTTATTTTCTTTTCTGGCTCCAATGGAAAAACATTGACATTACCAACATCAGCATTTGGGTGAGATGAATCCCACCCTTGTGTCAAACTTTGATTCATTTTTGCTCAATCTACAAGGATCTGCATCTCGGATTGATATGGATCCTTGTTTCTTTGTAGGTTGTGGAGAATAGAATACTAAGCAAGAGTTGGTCTTCAGCACTAGTGTGCTCTGACTATACACTAAAATAGCATATCTTTTTAATACAGGTGTCTCCTGGCGACACTGGATGGGATGTCTTCAGCTTGGACTATCATGTTGATGGGCCAATAGCAACGGTAATGTCACATACTGCTGTCTGTGAACATCTCGGATAATGAATTGAATTGCTAATTTTTAATTTTCTTTTTTGATTGAAATAACCTTTTATTTTGGAGTGTGAGATCAGAGAGACTTTTTTTTCATCTAGGATGCACCCACTGTATAAACAGTTGAGCTAAAATCTCAATTCTTATAAATTAACCAGGAGTGCTGAAAAGCTACATTTAAAACAATAATTACTGAAAATCAGTAATTCATTTGATCCAGCAGAGATTTTAGCAAGTACTTAATAAATGGAGTGCTCCTTTTCTCCCATCATTACTAGTTTGTAGCTACTAATTTGAGATAATTTGCAAGGAACTGAAGAATGTATTTGAGGAGAACCTATTTGTACCATCTAAATTAAATTTGATAGGTAGTGTTCATTAGAACTGCTGATAAAATAGCTGCACTATTGATCAGAATGCATTTAGTGTCTGTAAAGAACTTCTATTTTTTTTTTTTTTAAACAGGATATCAAAATGTGAGTCTGACCAGCACAAGGAATTTTCATATGTAGTTCGGAAAGAGCACAATGTTTAGGCTTTGTCGTGTTCACCCCATCTTACACTTCCTGCAGTGCCCTGTGCCTGCTTGAATGTTAGGTAACTCAGTTCAGCCCATGAGGTGGGATCTTTCCAAAAGCTCTGGGTTATCCAGGGTTTTTGTTTTGTCAATATTTATCAATAGACTGCAAGATACGATGGACTGTGAAGAGGGTCTTGGTCCTTCAGAACATACAGTAAGTCTGTTAAATTTGTACTGATACATTTATTTTTTTTTTTTTTTTTAATTTGTAGGTATTTACACGTGAGTGCATGAGCCACTATCTAAGAGTATTTAATTTCCTTTGGAGAGCAAAACGAATGGAGTATATTCTTACTGATATATGGAAAGGGCACATGTGCAATGCAAAGCTTCTGAAAAGTATACCAGGTGAGAGAGGTCCAAACGGATGATACTTTTAAACTGGATTTAGATGACTGCATCTTATTTTAAACTGTTAAGAGGGGGGACAAATTAATTTTATGTTTTATTGCTCCTCTTGACTGACAGTTTAATGACAGATGATGATGAAGACAAAATAACGTTATTGTAAATGGAAGTTTCCTGTTTGTTTTACTTAGTCCTTGGTTGTGACTTTTTGTAGCAGTGAGCAGATGAAACATCCCATTCTGGAAGAATATCGTTACTTTTCCATCCTCTTTACTCATCTTCCTTGTTAACTTCCTATCTGTAACTTGTGTCTCCCCCTTTCTTGTGCTAGAAGTAATGTCTCACACGTGCACACTTCTGAGTTTACTAGTTTTACCTTCACTCATTCCCTGTGCTTTTATTTAGCATAGAACAGAGAAGGCTAAGAAGAGAAACGTGTTTGAGTTAGAAGAGCTCTTAATTATAGTGGCTCTAGTGTATGTCTAATGGACTGGGACTTTTTGATCCTATTTCTCAGCTGAGAATATAGTCATATTTGCGAACATCTGTACTGGCTCACTCTTGACTTTTTTTACCTACCTACATTTCTCTCAGTAAAAAAAATAACTACTGAAGGTTACGCTTCTTTGTGGCATAGTCATATTTACAAAGATATATTTATGTTTTTATAATAACTGTTTGGCGGGTGGGAGTGGACACCTTGGTCTCAGAAGTTCCCTGGGAAATAAGCTTTTGCAAAGTCTGCTCTAGTGCACAAGGCTGATCTCTGGAACTGTCATGATGACTAGGTTTCCTTTCTGCTTCTGTGAGATAGGATTTAGTTCACTGTCATTTCCCTGCCCCAACTAAGTGCTTGTTTGACTTGAAACCAATGGCCTATTGCATTCTTGCTTTCTGTTCCCTTTGAGACTAGGATGCACGTAGCAGATTTTATTCTCATCACCTAAGGGTCTTCAGGCTGGACTTGTCTCCCATTGCTAGGGTTTTATTTGTTCCTTTGTTCTCAGGAGGAAGTTTGCCTTTTCTCCCACAGCCTCTTGGGAGGCCTTTCTTATGCTTTGCCACAGAGCAGTGTTCTGTAGGATAAAGCTCAGTTGCTTGTCACCTTTAGGTTTGGCTATGTTTAAAGTAACGCAGAAATTCAAAATGCTGGCCAAGCTGTTACAGCTGTTGTTAGCGGAAGGAGCTGAGTGTTGTATTTCTTGGTTTGTGCTTTTGTCAAAGGAGAGTGTTTACAAAGATCTGTACTGCCTTCTGCCTGGAGGGATGGGAGCCGTTTTCACTCACTGCATGTCTAAGTTGGAAGCTGTGAGTAGAATTTCATCTGAAATAGATGGAGCCCGGCACCAGTTTTTTAAAGAAGTAGTAGAACTTGCTTTTATTTTCTCTCTCTCCCTCTAAAACAGTACCTGCTATTCCAGTTACAAAACACCAAATGGAAGACAGTAACTGTTAGGGGGAAGCAGCTGCAGGGTCTTTTGTTTTTCAGCCACAAAGAGGGAGCATTGACTTTCAAGGATAGCTTTATTCACAATTTCCAAAAAGTCTTAACAGCCAGGGATTTTAATGCTTTAAAAGAGTACTTCTAGACAGCAGTGCCAAGCTCGCCCTCTTCCTCTCAGTAATTGGAAGAAACACAGATGTATCCAGCTTACCAATGCTGAAGTATTTCTGTTGTTAAGCCAACCCTGTGGAGATTGTTTTTACTGATCCTTTTTAAAGTAGATGCAACATAATGTGTTAGGGATAGTTTTCCTGCAAAGGCATAAGAAATGAAGAACAGAGTATCTTGTAATACCTTTCGGATCATTAGATGGTCCTGTAATGTCCCAAGATAGGCAAATGTAGAATTCTTTTTGTAGTAGTGTCATATCTTGTCTGCAATGGCAAATTACTTTGGCAGGTTTTTAGAAATTATGTCCTCTGTCTGGATATCTGCCTGATTCCAGAAGGATGAGTATCATTATTCCAGAGAATTTCTGAAGTTGATAGTAATCTTGATACTACCCTTCCACAACAGAGGTCCCCTCTCTTACAGGTGAGCAGCTGAGGCCATTGGTGATTTGCATATTGGTCTGTGTCGTGGATTAGGGAATTGAACCTGGACCACATGAGCCACAAATTCCCTACTGCTGTCACAGCCACCCTCTCTTTTGGTCTCAGTGTAGCTAAGTAATGCAAAAATACACTCTCTGTGTTTTAAAGGCTGATGGTAAGAGGCGTGAGAGGCCCCAGAAGCAGCTGCAAATCCGTGGCCTCAGATTTTCAACCAAAAGAACACATGGGACATTAACTGTATTTTGGTCTCTTGAGATTGAGAGGGTCTTTTACGCTTGTGATACTCAGCAAGTTTTCAGCACTGTCTGGGCACATGGTATCATCTTTGGCTCACATTTTCTAGGTGTAAATTGTGCAATGTTCTTTGCTTATCTGTGTGCCAGACAGTGTTGCTTCTACCATCCAAGATTAGTGGCTGTTTTATGAAGTATTCTGTTTGGTAGAAGAAGCTGGTTTGATGGCTCTGCCTGTCCTTGCAGTCTTTAACATGCCATCTCTTTGAATTTTTTACAGAGCTTTCTGGGGTGCTGCATCAGTGTCACGTTCTGGCATCAGAAATGGTCCATTTCATTCATCAAATGCAGTATTACATTACATTTGAGGTATACTCTATCCACCTAATTAGTTGCTTAAAAATGAAGTACTTTTAATATTCTGTATGTGTTGCGTGTCTTAAATTTCAAAGAGCTTGTCATCTAGCAAATCAAAACAGCCCAATTCTGAATCATTGCTCCAGGTGCTTGAATGTTCATGGGATGAACTCTGGAACAAGGTCCAACAAGCACAGGACTTGGATCACATCATTGCAGCTCATGAAGTTTTTCTAGACACAATCATAGCTCGGTGCTTGCTGGATAGTGATTCCAGGGTAAGTCTTCTCCTTTGCATTAGGCTGTAGCTTTGTGATCTCGGCTAACACGTTAGGAAACACCTTCTCTTATGTTGTAGGAGCAAGGGGAAAAACAAATTTTCTTCCTCTAAGACCTTATTATGGTAGGCTTTGTACATAATCCCCAGAACAGGTGCTGATCATAAAACTTGTTGCAATGTGGGCCAGTTGCTTTTGGTCCTAAGCTGTGTGATCATGCAACAACTGACTTAGGGCTTTGTAAACTGTCTAGCTGTGTGTAAAAAGATTTAATTTACTCATGTTCTGAAGAATGGTAGTAACTTAAAACTCTTTTTTCTGTACAACTGTTTCATTGTTTTGTTGCTCAACTGTCTCACAGGTACTTCTCAACCAGCTCCGAGCTGTTTTTGATCAGATCATTGAGCTCCAGAATGCCCAAGATGCAATGTACAGAGCTGCTTTGGAGGAGTTGCAGCTGAGGTTGCAATTTGAAGAGAGGAAAAAACAGCGTGAGCTTGAGGTACAGTAAGAATATTACTAAAACTTGAAAATTAATTGAGGTAGGTATACATGTCTTTGGATATACAGAAGATTTTAGGTATCATGTAGAAGTACAGCAAAAATGAAAATGTAGTTGGGACAAATGCAAAAGTCATCAGCAGTAGCTAGTGATTTCAAACAAAACTGCTGAATGGTGTTTTTCATTTCTCTCTTGCCCAAAACCTCTAGGTCAGTAGATTCTCTAGGGGGCTTTGGAGGATGAGAAATCTAGGGCTCTTTTAGGAGAAGGAAATAGAAGAGGCTTTAATACTCTGAACCCTTTTGCAGAAAATGCCATAGCTTCATGCCTACCTTCCTACTGTCAGCCTGTGGGACATGCAGTGCTGCTGTGAGACTCTCCTGCTTGCTAACCTCAGATTCCTTTTGTGTGCTGTACCAACCACTGAGGGGGCTGATAGTTTCTATTTTAGAGGCTCCATGTTTGGCTTCCTATGGCAGTGGATGGTTTGAATAAACATGGTGGTTCAGTTGGGTAGAAAGTGGCCCAATTAGCAATTTTTGTTATGTGACACTTGACCTCTTAACTTATTTATTCTCTGTGTAGGGACAGTGGGGTGTAACTGCATCAGAAGATGAAGAAGAGAGCAGGAGGATGAAAGAATTTCAAGACTCAATACCCAAAATGTGCTCACAGCTGCGAATACTCACTCACTTTTACCAGGTGCCCCTTAGATATTTTTTTAATATGGATGCTGAGCTTTGATATATAGAAATCAAATATTGAGTAGGTGCGGTTTCTGTATTCGTGTGTGCAGCTTGTTGGTCTTGGTTCTTAATTTTCTTCTTCTTTACTTGGAAGCCTGTATTTACTGTTCCTCAGTAGACAGTAGGTTTTGCGACCATGTATGTTCCCCTGACAAAGGGGAATAGTCTCTTCATGTAACTCTCCTCCTTCAGCAGTAGAAGTAATCGCCATCTTCTGGTGTAATCTGAAAAAAAAAAGAATCATCCTTCTGCATTCCATTTTTTTTCCTCAACATCTTTGCAAGTCACTGCTATTAAAGACTGCAGAAAGGGTCCTTATTAAGGGCTTAACACTTGATTTTAAGTGCACTGAAATGTGTAAACTGTTTGGGCGAACATGCACAGGCTCTTCTTCAATGGTAATTATTCTGTCTTTTACTTAATGTGCTATATCTAATTCTGAAGCTCCTGTTCACCAGAAAAATCAGCTGTTAGATTTCAGGAAAGTGTTACAGAAAGCGATCAAAGGGAACAACACAGTGTTGTGGGCTACAGCAGCTTTTTAGGATTAGAACCCAGGTCAACTGAAAACCTATCCCAACTCATCTCTTGACTTTGACACATGAGGTGCTCTTAATGCACTGTAATGTACCTTTTAATTTCCCTTATTTATCACCTTTGGCATGCCTGAAGTTAGGATTTTTTTAATAATGTTGATACTGAACTTGGCTTAATGCTGTAGAACCTGCTTTCTTTCTTGATGTTGGTATTTCATTTATGTTTCTGTTCTTAATTTCTATAAATACACATTTAGACAAATATTAAACACATAAGCATGCATTGTTTCCCTAAGTTAATGAGTGAGGTTGCAGTGAGTTTGTTGGGTTGTTACCCATGTTTTCTTTTTATCTTGTAAGAGTATGATTGGTTCTTTACACCATTTATAGTTGTGATTTAGCATGTGCAGGGCATTTCCCTTTTCTCCAGTGATTTGCATCAGATCCTTTTCTGTATTGCCTATAGTTTGTCACGCTATAGCTACTCTGGATGAAGTGCTGCTTTGTTAAAAGAGTTCAGTTCATATGGAAGTTTGAAGGAAAACAGAATATTATGCCCAGATTATAAAGTACTGGTGGTTTTTGTTAAAAAATGTAGAGATACCGAGCATTGATGCAAGGACTTCAAATCTGGGAGGAATTTGCTCCTGGGTCCAAATATTGTAGTCTCCCTCCCAGAGGAATACGGAGCCAAATTAAGTGCAGGTTGTAGTTTTTGTACTCTACAGGATTGTCACAAATTGCCAATATAGCTTTTGCCTGCTTGGACTGTATTCTTGCTGGACCCTACTTTTTGCATTTTTCATGCATTTTCCATGCATTTTCCATGAAGGGCTTCCCTGGCCAGCCTTGGTCATCTTTGTAAGTAATGGGGTGCTCTACTTATGGGTATGTCCTTGTTAGTATTTAGTGGAGATCAGGAAGGAGCTCTTCAGGTGAATCTTCCCATGCTCCCAAAGTCCTCTTCTTTCCTGCATGCTGTGGAACTTCTGCAGCTCCTTCCCTAGAGCCGAATGGGAAGATGGGCTCCAGAAGCATACCTTCCAAATGCTGAGTGCAAGTTTCACTCAAGAACTGCTCCAAATGCATAGAGTCTAGTTATTGGGTCTGTAGCACTGACTGCCCTAATTGGCAGATGCTCTGCTGTGCTGGGGTGCTACTTGCTGCTGTCTAACCTACATCAAATATGAATTTGTAAAGTGAACAGTGGTTTAATGCTGATCTGGCCTGCATTGTACATACGACATGCACATTAGGTGAGGTCTCCTGTTGGCGTTGGTCAGGTCTTGAATGGTGGGGTGGGGCTGTGGTGGGGCTGCCCTGGGAGGGCTGGGGCACCAGTATGGTGCAGCGCCCCTGCAGGCACCTTCAGGGAGATGGAGGGTGCCAGCAGGGCACAGCGAGGGTGGTTTGAAAGGCAGGGCTGTTTGCACTGGAGACTCTGATGTGCGTGGCAGACATTTGAAGATAGTGAAGCTCTGTGATTTTGCAGAAAGAATGAATCCATGATAACTGGTTTGCTAACAATTGGATATAAACGCTCGTGCTTGCCCTTTCCGGATTTCCTGCTCATTGTCAGGCCTGGGCAGCACCTGGCATCCCTGTGCAAAACACACCAGTGATGTCTCTTTGTTTTTATTTTATCCTTCAGGGAATTGTCCAACAGTTCTTGGTCCTGCTGACAACCAGTTCTGATGAAAGCCTTCGGTTTCTCAGCTTTAGATTGGACTTCAATGAACATTATAAAGCCAGAGAGCCAAGGCTTCGCGTGTCGTTGGGCACTAGAGGCAGACGAAGCTCCCATATGTGAAACAACTGCGAAGGACTGCACCTCGGTATCCGAAGGATGTTGAACCTCTTGTTGGACAAGGCAATCAGTGTTGACATAGTACCACCAAATCGTGCGTGATCGGTGTCTACCATTTCTGGAGTCAACATGTTTTTTGGTCGTGTGATTGTGTGACACTGTATAGCAGAAAGCAAAAAAAAGTAGGGTTTTTCTACACAGACATTTCTAGAATTACCAGACTAAATGGGCTGATTGAACCTCTTCCAACCAACTTCTTAAACCATCCTTTTAAAAAGTTGCCAATTTAATTTGAAGCTTTCTGAGTTCTCTCCACTTATATCTCTGTCAAGGAAATCACATCTTTTGTTTATAGAAAGCACCCTTTCCTTTTTTAACAAGAAAATAAGAGGGTTATTTTTTCTATATGTGCTTGTTCTATTTGAAGAGAGCTTTTGTTAAAGCCAACAGATGAGGACCCAGACCTGACGTCCCTGTTAAGAAGCTATACAGCATTTCATTATGCTGATTTTTTTTCAGTGTTGTGATGTGTTTGACTGTGTGAGAAACTTTGTATCAGGAGACATAAACTTCTATTTAATTTTTTGTTGTTTTCAAAGTTAACAAACTGAAATGAAAAAATTTAGTAGGGAAATTCTATGGGTACTGTACAGAAGAAAACTATAGAAGCAGAGCAAGAGTGTTATTTGTTGCACATAAGATCTAAAAAGTGAAGTTAAAGCCTCAGTACTGTTAAAAGAAGGTGTTGGTTAAGATTGAATTGAATGAAATAATTGATGTTCAGAATAGGATGTGTAGAAAGAAACTGACTTGGCTGATGTTGACCTCATTCTTTTCCCTTGCCTATTTTTTCATTGTAAATATTTATATATTGCTGTCCAGATGTTGGGGAGAGGGGGATTCTTCTTTTTCAAAGTTGTCATTATACCAGGTCATTTATTATGTTCCACAAGTGCAAGCTTAGAAAAATAAAAACACGATTATCTTTCAAAGAAGTATTTTACTTTTTGTAACTGAAAGATTATGACTTTTTCCACAGGGTAAGAAAGGAGAAGCTTCTGGTTAGGAGTGTATTGTTTTACAAATCCCTACCCATGATAGGATTTTTGTATGAATCTTATGTATACATAGAGTTGTATGGAATTCACTGAATAACCGGTACCCTCAGATCAACCATGTCTGTGGCCTCTTTTGCCCTTACTCTGCTTGAACCACCAGGAAGCAGAGGCATCTCCCAGGCCATGCAGGTGAGGCTGCTCTCAGTCATGACAGAGGTGAACTCTCATCATGGGGACGATGCACCAACTTGCAGCTCTGGACTAGCAGGTTTGCCCTCTGGACACGAGGATTCCTGTTACTATGCAGGCCTTGGAGTCCTTGCTTTTGTTAACTAAAACATGTAAGGCTTATAACCCTGTGCTCTTCAAGGACCTGCTGGTGCAGCTTACCTTCATGGGAGTACCTGCAGGCAGCTTTTCAGTTGTAAGGAAATATGGACTCTGAAGCCAGCGTGCTGAAGGAAAGATGCCGAGATAGGCATCACAAGGTCACAAATCACCTGACAGGCAGGAGTATTCTGTTTTTGTGGATGTGGTGGGAGCATGTGGTACTTGTACAGTCTGAAAGAACTACAAAGCTTATGTGATTGTTTTTTGGCCAAAACTGTTGGAAATAAACCCCAGCTGCATGAGCACTCTTTAGGCCATTGCCTTGAGACATGTTTCATGATCCCATGTGTCATCAGACAATCCACAGGCAGAGGGGTAGCATCCAGTGTCGGAACTAGTTCCAAGTTCTAGGACAAGTTTCAGAGGAAGGTTTAGTTCCGTTTGCTGATAAAATGAATCCACCGGTACACATACACAGGAAACCTGCAGTAGTGGCTGTGCCAGGAAAGATCAATTTGAGGTGATTCTGTAGAAAACCATCGGTATGGGAAGAGTCCTCACTGCTGCAGTTGTTCTGTGACTGCCAGGCTGAGGGGAATGTTCTGAATGCAGGACACAGAGTACCTGAGCCTGTCGGGACCTGCCATTGTTCTTGGTGCCCCTTTGTGCAGATCAGTGTTTTATACCCTAACCAGCAGCTGTCATGTTTATTTCAATCTACATGTTTTTTGTAGCTTCTGGTTCTACAATTAGAATTGATGAGTTGTGGTGTAGCAAGCATAGCTTGAGGAAGCCAGTGCCCCCTTCTAAATTAGGATTGAACAGTGAAAAATAAACACTGAGAAAAAGATGTATCTTTGCGACTATCTGTTGGCTCTATGCTGTTAGGGCCAGATTCTCATCAAGAGAATGGATCAAAAGTTGAGCAATAAATACTTCAAATCTTTCTTTGGGCTTGAAAATTATTAACAGTAATGTCATAATAAATTACGTGAGAGCACCAACACTTCAGAGCAGAAAATTATGACTTGAAGCATCAGTAAATATTTGAAAGGTGAGGCATAGAATATCCTGTCCAGCTCTGCTGGAGAATCCCTTGGAAATGTTCCTGAGATCTCCAGTTTCTCAGGCAATGGCATCCATTTTTCTCTCTCTCTTGGAGACTGCTTTGCCTGCACCTGTACCTGGAGAAGAGCAATCATCCCCTCTAAGACCCTCTCTGACTGTGAGGCTGTGGGGAAGGTTCTGAAGTGCACATGTAGATTTTTTTTTTAACACACTAATTGAAAGGTAATGATTGAAAAAGAAGCGAGATAACTGGACAGAAAAGTTAAGCTTATTTTAAAACTTCTAGACTTGAAGATTGGAATCCTCTGTGACATTTCATGAATGCATCCTAATGATGACCACAGAAACCAGCTGTGGGTGCACATGTCTGTGCTCATTTCAATTTTCATGCGAACGAGCAGCCTCAGAGATGACCACACACACATGTAAAAGGTGCTTAGAGACTTCTCGGAAGTGCCTGAGTAATTTTGAAAATTCATCTTTTGGCTCCTTGAAACCTAAAACATCACTTTAACTCCTAAGAAGATTCTACTAGTTGAAGAGAGAAAAAAAGAGTTGGGAGAGCTGCAAGAGATGTGCAAACATAAGTAGAACAGGGCCAGATAAGAGAACTTGCTGTTTCAGAAGTCAGAAGAAATTAATTCTGTATGGTTTCTAGAAGGACATTGTAACCATCACCTGCTCTGCCTAATTTAACAAACCAAAATTACTCTGTGTCAAGGATAACAATGAACATCAAAAGTAAGATATTCTCTTTTAGTCTGTAATTGTTCAGAGTGAAAAGTTTCTGCAGCCGTTGATTTAACCAGTCATATATCACCCTGAGGACTTACTGAACAGCAATGTTAAAATATAATGAAAATGCATTAGTTTTAGGTTGACAAGGAATACTACAAACTTAACATATGAACCACTTGGTCTCTTGAAAGTATTAAGCCAGGCTCCCTGTTGTAGTATTTTAACTGCTTTAAGTTAGCTTGGAACAATCCAGTCTTTAAGGCATCAGAATCACTCGTAAGGGTTGACTTGTTACTTACTGTCTTTCACAGGAAGAGCAGCAATGGTGCCTTACTCAGTATTTATTTTCCTTCTTTTTCTTCCAAAGTTAGCTTTTTGCTAATGCACTTTGACTACCCAATATTGTATATTCTCTAATAAAATCACTGGGCTAAAACCTGAGTGCCACATGAGCAGAAGTAGAAACTTGACTGCAGGTGAAAAGACAATGATAAGCAGAGATGTAAGGGGTCAGAGAGAATACAGAGGCCAGGAAGGTTAAAGAAACCAAGGCGATGTATAGTTGCTCACAGAAGGAGAGAAGGGCAGGGCAGAAGAGAGCAGGGATCCTGAAAGAAAGCAAATGGTGACCAGGGATGCTCAGGAAAGAGTAGAGAAAGAAAAGCATACCAAGAAAAATCTGAGGAGTGTAGGAAGTGACATTTTGATCACTGCACAGTTAGTTTACATTAGCTTTCTGTGGAACAAATTCTATTAAACAATAATTAAGTTAGCTGAACATTAAGTATGGAAAATGCAATTGGCATGATTGTTATCTTCAATCCGAATATTAAAAGATATGATAGGGAAAAGCTGTCACAAGATGATGATTAAATCTTCCAGTGCCATGGAGAGTGAAAACCAATTATTTGCGTTTGAGATACATGCCACAAGAAGAAGGTAGCTAGGCATCTAGGATCCCTCTCATTCCTACAATGGGAACATTCCCAAAACTAGTCAAGGCTGCTTCATTGCCCTTTAAAGTTTTTCCCAAAATTGCCAAGAGAGAGGCAAAGAACACAGTCTTCTGCTTCTCTTTCAAACAAGGCACTGCATTCATTCCTTAAAAGAAGGTATTTGTACTGGGTTTTACCTCTTGTTTCTACTGAACAGTGCTGAAGGCTGTAAAGAAACAGAGGAAAATTACAGACAGGCTCACAACAGCAACTAAAAAGGCAAATCAAAACTTTCCTTTAACAACCTGGTGTGTAAAAGTAAGTACTAGAGCATAATATAATGGGTAGAAAATTATGAAAACAAAATTCTCTAGAAAACAAGCAATTGAACCATCAGATGGAGATTCAATATTTAGTGGAGAACAAAAAGCATAGAGAACACAAAATGTGGGATGAAAATGGTATTTCATAAATCAGAAATGCCTACCCATTACGACTTCATTAACACAACCAAAGTTTAAGACCAAAATAGAATATATTTTTGACAGCTGTGACCCAGGTTATTAAAACAGCCATAAATGAACTGAAATATTTTGTTTATTATCCTGTAAAAGAGACTAATGCAGTATAAATTTATACTCTTTGTGTACATATATATGTGTGTACAAAATGCATGCACATAATTAATAAAAGTGCTAATAGACCGATAAGAATATAATTATTATGTCATTTTATTTGCTAAGGAAAAAGATACAGTACAGATTTCTCAGCTACAATGGAATGGATAAGCCAACACTTCTTCTCTGCAAAGTGCCAGATGGGGCATTAGACCCTACAGAAAATGGGTTTCATATGCACTGCAGACAAAACAAGTGCTGCACTTCTGCAACACCCATTTGCAACTTAGGTGCAAGAGCAATTGGAGATGAGTGTTTCCCAAAGCACTCATCTGTAGTGACTTTACTTACTAAACCTCTCATCATTCTTGTTTTCAAACACTGAGAAATAAACAAGATGGATACATCCTGAAAATAAGTCATGTCTCAACTTCCCTTTCACGTTGTTTCCTTTCCCACCAGCCTCATCTCTCTCTTTCAGATATTTAGGGGAGTTCTGAGATCCTTGATACGATTAGGTAAGAGAGTTAAAAGGATCTTATAAATGCAGCTC